TGCGGCCTTGATGGCAACATGTGCCTTGAATAAGGTACAGAGGAAACACACTCATGGTCAACCGTGCACTTTCAGCTCTGGTATGTTGGGGGGGAAATGTACCTGTGACCAGCAAGGAAGAGCTGGAACGGTGAGCACTGTGTGCAAATTCCTGTAACACAGGGCTCAGGGCCATCCTCCACTGTGAGTGTTGTAGTACATGTGGGGGACAGTGCAGGACTTTGCCCTAGAAACAAGTACTAGTGCCAAACACCACCTAAGTGCCCCCATATGCAGTGTATTCTCGGTTCCTTACTTCTCTGTGAGACCTGTGGCCATTGACTATTGGATACTGAAGTAGACATCCCATCTATATGGACCAGCTGTCACCAAGCTTTTATTAAAAAAGAATGCAGTTGTGTGAGCCAGTCACATTATGCGCTATAGTGTCTATGTCTAAAATTATATTTTCTACCTTATTTTTTGTTGCTGACAAAATTGATGGGTTATAACAGTTGCTATAGCTCATAATAAGTTGTTCCATAAGTTTGACTTGGGAAAAACATTGTGTATTAGAGATAAATTGGTCATTTAGATCAGCACAATCTGTCAGTGGGTCACATCACCTACGACAAATTTAATTTTAAAAACTGGTGACAACTTTAACATGGGGATGAAATGTCTAGTTGTATTAATAGTCAAAGCCTGTGACTTAATGGAAGGGTACTGCTTTACTTCAAATATTACAGATGTTTTTGTTTGGTAGACGATGTCCTTTATTTACTCTAAAAGATTTAATTACGAAGGGTGATGTCGGGAAAACGTGAAATAAAGTATGTTGCCCAACTCATTGTAAACTGCATTGTATACTAGTTAAATTTTCAATTTAGGACACAATATCTATTCACAAGTACAAACTCGGCATATTAGTGAAAATACACTTTAGAATATGGCCGATACAACCAACACAGGTACAATACATCCTTTGTTGAAAAATAACAGTGTATGGCTAATGTATGAAACTGTACTAATCTTTTGTGGACACTCTGTGTTGCTAACAGGATGCTGGCAGCACGATGGACCCCAACATACAGACCATCATTGTGGGTGTTGTGGCCGTCGTGTTCACCTACATATCTACCCTGGTGGTGGATAGGATGGGTCGAAGACCACTACTACTGCTCTCTGACTTTGTCATGGCCATTTGTACTTTCTTCCTCGGTGTTTACTTCTACCTCAAGAACAAGACAGAGTTTGACACTGCCTCCATCAGCTGGCTTCCCATACTGTCTGTGTGTGCCTTCATGATTGTCTTTTCCCTCGGGTTTGGTCCCATCCCCTGGATGTTCATCAGTGAGGTGCTCCCACGCCAGATCTCTGGTTATGCGTCTTCTGTCTGCTGCTGTTTCAACTGGATCTGTGTGTTCTTAGTTACCAGATTCTTCGGAGACGTCAGTGCGGCCATCGGAGCTTATGGATCGTTCTGGCTGTTCACGGTCATATCGGGTATTGGAACAGCATTTGTATATTTTATTGTGCCAGAAACCAAAGGGAAAACTTTGGAAGAAGTACAGATTTTGCTCGGAGGTTCAACATAAACTAAAAATCAGTTATCTATTTGTATGATCAAACACATTCCTATTTCAGTAAATAGTTTTCTATTTTCACTCGGGTTTTATCGCTTGAATACTAGCAAAAGGTGTATAACAAATTAAGTTTGCACCTATGAAGGATTAGTAGGAGTTTCAAACTTATAAATGGTGTAAGTGAATGATTTGATTATTTTTGTTTACTTTATGATTTTGTTTCTAAAGAAATTTCTAGAGTATTTCCCTAGTCTTCATTATAACATTAAATATTGCACGAATATTCATATTCCAGTCATGAATTGAGAATAATCGTGTCTAGGCTGTGATTTAATAAACATTACTCACAATCATTCATAAACAACTGGCAAGCATTTACTTTTCTGTCGCATCATTGTACATATCCTATGTCATGTTGCATGAAGGTGTTTACTTGTAATTTCATCTTTCCTTACAAGTGGTAAACAAATGTTTTTAATTCCTAACTTTTAACTATTTGATTTAACAATCTCTCTAGGTGCAATACCAATTCTTTATAATTTTAAATAGGTAATTTATTAAACTGTAAATAGAGCATAGATGTTACAATTAATTGTAATTTAGCATTAAGTGTTGATATTTACTAAGATAGTTTAAGATTTGTTAAGGTGTTTAAATTGTAAGACAAAACCAGTTTAAAGTAAGTTTTGGAATATTAAAGTCGTTTTTAACAAGGTAAAAATGTTGAAAGTTTTCAATAGACATTTTAAAAAGTAGATAGGCCTACTGCACTGCATTTGTCTGGCATTTAAATACTTATGTGCTTGTCTAGTTAAGGATCAAGCCATTATGCTCCATCGTGACAATAATAATTGATAAATTCATTTCTTAAACTATATAGTTTATAAACAAATACTAGATCAGATTTAAAATGGATTTACAGTTTTTTTAATTTTTTTAAATTAAGAGTAACAATTATAATTGTTACAAAAACCTCTAATAAGATAAGCCAAATAGGAACGTACCATGTTCAACCACAATGTTCAAACAGGAATCCAAATTTCTATAAACAATAAATAATTAGTACCTATCATATTTCCAAAATTAAACTGGTTTTAAATAGTAGTTGTGTCAAAAAGCTTTAGTACAACTTTGTGATCATTGATATTTTGTATTATAATCATTGTTATATTAAACATGTTTTTAAACTTTATTTATGTTTTTAACTCTTATTACCTGAAATTTGTTACGTCATATGCCTACAAGTCAAGTTGTGTGTGTGCTAATTATACTTTTTTTTTTGTTATCTATGGTGACAAGAGCATGTGCCCATCCCCCAGGGTCAGAGGTGCAAAACCCCACCCCATTTCATACTGCCCCTTTATACAGCAATACATTGTCGGTCCCAAGCTGTCACAAAGACATCATCATCCTGTGATACGGACAATATCTTAACATTCCCCAAAAACGCAAAGATTTTGACATCCCTCCGAGGCCACAGAACATCATCGCCTCCTGTGACCTAGGAAATCCTTACGTATCACTGCGGTTGCAAAGATACATCTTCATCACCCCCTGTGATCTTCGCAATCTTTAACTTTTTCCACGGCTATGAATACATCACCATCGCCTCCTATGATTGCGACAATATCTTGACATCCCTACACGGTCGTGAAGAAATCATCACCATCTCTTGGGATCACGGCAATATCTTGATGTCCCTCCGTGGTTGTAGAGACATCACCATCATCTCTTGTGTTCGTGGCAGTAGCTTGACATTCTTCTGCGGTAGCAAAGATATCATCACCGCCTCCAGTAGTCGTGACAATTTCTTGACGTTTTCCCGCTGTCACAAAGACATATAGTTGTTGTGAAAAAAGATTTGAATAATAATAGCCAAATTAAGTGTAAATATGGCATAGGAATTCAACAAAAAATTATTTTAGGGGTACTCATAAAAAACATAATTAATTAATAAAGTCAACATGAAAATAAAATCCTTTTAGAAATCCCCTCCTACGACGCCCCCTCCAAAATCCCAGTGACGCCTCTCTGGGCACCCAGTAGACAACAGTAAAGGTGTGAAGGTGAGGGTGTGAGGGTGGGAAGGTTCCCTCTCTGCTTCTTCTAAGAATACTATTTATTAATCCTGAGCTCTATTCAGTTCTTAGTCCGCAGTGAGCGTTCAAAAAATTTATTACTTCACCACTGGTGTGAAACTTGGGACGAATCCAGCATCTGATAATATAAAGATTTGTCAACTTCACTAACCTGGCATTTCACTCCTTGCTTTGCTGTAAACGATCCACGCACGGAAGCTTTGTCTATGTGGACGGGCAAATGCAAGGTTAAAGGAGGCCGCCAACCTCTTTTTTTTTAAATTTAAAATTAATTTGTCTATGAAGGTATTTTACACTGACTAAGCCATCTGGGCGTCTGGAAGTGTTTGTGGACCATCAGTTGATGTTGGGGTAAAATATAAATTAAAATGTCATAAAAATCTCAGAATATTAGAAGAGATAGAGAACATAACAAGCGTTTATCAGCAGCAATAATACATCTGTTTATATCGTGAATGCATACAAAAAAAGATTAACACAACGTGGTCAAAAATGGTCTGGGGATCTTTGTCTGATATTTATGTTTTTGAGTCGTGAACGGTGTGGGATTGGGGGGAGAGAGTGGTAGGGTAAGGTAGGGGGGGGGCTTGATGGAGTGGAAGGGGGTAGGTGTTTGCTGAGTAAAATATTAAAAACCAGACAAAAAAAAAGCTTGCATTTTTTTAAAGTTAGAAAATAACAAATTTTTAATGTGCTCTAGCGGAGGTGATTTCTAATTGATTTTCAAGTGTCAACTTCCATTTTGTACAGGGGTTAGAATTCGCTATAATTTTATAGTTTTCGACTTATAACACGAAAACTGAAAAAAGTGCTAAGAATTTTCAATTCTTTGGGAATATCTTAGAACGATCAAGAAATTATTGTTGGACAACTTCAGATTTGGATTCAGCAACTCAAAAACCTATAATTGCTAGACAAAATTCCTTGAACACCTTTTTTGTCCCACAACAGATTGACTGGACTAATAGAATTTGTGTAAAACTTTCAAGATAGTATTGAGCCAACAGAAACTGTAATAGTAATCTGATTTTATCTTAAGTTCCTACGTAAATATGATATGTTTCTGTAATTCTAACCACTATTTTTATTTGACCTATTCTGGAGTTTTTATGAAACTCCTAATACATAAGAAATAAACAATAATATTTCACTTAACTTACAAGTGACAGTGACATTTGAAATTAAAACCATAAAACAAACATCTGTCTGACACGTTATCATCATGAAATGTTATCAAGGTGGAATGGCATAAAACTACAATTCCAACAACAGAGTCAGTAAGTTAATAATTATGAGTTGGTTAGTTGCTGCTTCTTATTTGTTTGGTTTTTCAATGTTCGTACTCAATATTGATGGTTTACTTTATGTTTTGAAGACGTGTAAAACTTCATTAGTTTACTTTTTTTAGTTAGGGTAGTACCTACATTTTTATATTTTTGAGGAAACTTTTCATTTACAATAGTGAGTGGTAAGTTGTCATATAATAAATGACATTTATATTGTATATAAAAACACAATGGACGATCCTTATATTCACAAGGTAAGTAAAAAATTGTTTTAAAATTAATATGTATGTAAATTTAAAAATACCCCGCCGCAGCAAACCTGCAGACTAAGCAAATTTTGATTTGCCTGATTGGATGACACTAAATTCCGGACTAAGGAGATACACCATGTAAACTCTTAGTAAAAAAACTTTATCTTTACTTGCATTGTAAAATTTCATCCATTGTTATATCAACTTTTCAAGTACCTGCATTAACAAGGGGTATCACTTGATGAGAACAACTCTTTGTCAGTGTAACCTCTCTCCATTCTTTGACTGGTAAATATTTTTATTGATCGAGTCTACAGTGATTTTTTAAGGTTTATGTTTGAGGTTTGTTTGAAAGGTATGTTTGAAAAGTTTGTTGCTTTGTAGCTAACAACGTTCTGATTATAGTACAGACACTGCACTATTTATTGCTATGACATAAATAATAATATGTATGTTGATGCCTTGAATGTTGCAAATGCTATTTTTTTATTCTGCTTGATTGTAATGTACCTGCCAATTATTGCAAAAATGCTAATAGTACCTAACTTATGTTGTCATCGTAAATGGATTAAGCCGGAAATAAATTAATAATTTAACATCTTAAGGTTTGTTAAAAGAACCCTATTTGTGTTTTTGAGTGCTGGCTTAAACCTTATTACTGAATATTCATATCAGCATCCAAGGCTAACCTGACATTGACATCAGTTAAACCTATTTATTACTCAGTCTCTCATACAGACGGCTTTCATTGAAGATTGGCTAAAAGTTCTAACAACTGTTTCTACATCTTAGATACCATACATAAGTGAAGTGTTGCTTCAGTTTTATTAATCAACTGTAGTTTGATTTTATTCAATGTAATTTTACATTAAAACAGTGTAAAATGAAGGTAGGTCCCACAAATTCTATGACTATAAATTGTATTTTAAGATTTAAATTGTTAATTTATATCTAGATCTGAGTTGAAAATAACTGTGTTTCATTCTATTTTTTCATTGCTGTTCACTGCTTCAATTGTATTATTGTTACTTTTTTAATTCATTGTTTATCAATAATATTGAAATCTGTTAAATTCGGTGATAGGTTTGTTATTTCGTTATATTATTATATTCTGTGTCATGGTATACCATAATAATTCGTTGTATACATAATATAATATAAGTATACCATAATAAAAACATAAACTTAATAAATTTATAACTTTAAGCTTACAATAACACTATTTTTGACTGTTTGCAGAGTCTTGATAGATTTTGAGTTAGAAATAGGAATTAAGTCCCATAAAAGTTATAAGCTTTTTTAAGAACTGGTTATAAGTGCATGACAACAATTTAATATACTAAATTATTGGTTTTTTAAGATCTACAAAATATGGTTTGGAAAAATAGCAAAATTTTATATTTGTAGGGTCAAAAATGAGGAAACCCCATTTTTTGCTCAAATCACCCTTTAACCCCCTTTCCAATAGTCTAATCATGCTGGCTCGTGAACTCATTTGGATAAATAAAGGTTTACACGCTTATACCAAATTTCAAAAAAATTGGACATGTATAATATATAGGTTACATATATATTAAATTTGAACGGATGGTGTTTTTGGCCTCTAGGGACATAACAAGGAAAAAGTAAATTATGGTCACGGGTCCAGGTCTTACTATGAGACCTACGGTAATAACTTATTCCCTATTGGAAATTAGCTAAAAGAACTTTTTCAAATTGAGCCATAGACAGAGTGGGCTGCTATAAAATACAGTTTTCATAATATTATACTAAAAGCCCGTAGGTTTTTAGTCATGCCAAACTGGAAGGGGCCTATGCAAACAGGTCCACTTTTTACATAGGCTGACTGGGCTAGAAAAGCATTTGGACTGTTTGCTTTCAAAACCTAAATGCCATTGGTGTAAAAACGCACAAAATCAAAATAAGCCCAGAGAGACAAAATGTTTAGAGGCGCCGACAAATAACAATTTTTGTCGCCACACTATGATGTTTCTGGCTGTATTACATATATGTAAATTGGTGGCTGAAAGTTACGTTTTGCTGGCCATACCAGCTGTCATCGTATTTTGGGGACCGCTTACTTTCTTAAAACATGAATGCATATGAAAAACACAATTGAATTGTGTTTTATTGTCACCGCTGCCTAGCAACCATTTATTATATTATTTTTTGCTGATTCCTCAAATTATTTCTTCACATAACCTTAAAGTTGTAGTTCTGTTGACTATTAGTGTGCATTATTATTGTGTTGAATATTGTTAACAGTGTATAGTGTGGTGAAAAATTGTGTTCGTACCACGGACCGAAATGGTTTTGCAGCTCTCGATTGTACTAAGTTCTATCTCGAGCCGGCAAAACATCATTTTCGGCTCTAGCCCAAGTAGCATAACAATGTTGTTTCAATGTTGTTGTCAACATTTAATCAACATTAATTTAATATTGCCCCAATATTGATCAACGTGGTAACAATATTGTTACAACGTTTTCGTGAAACAAAATACATTGTCTTGACAATGTTGTCTTAATATTTTTCAACGTTGTTTCAATGTTGTTTTCAACATTTAATCAACATTCATTCAATATTGCCCAAATATTGATCAACGTGGTAACAATATTGTTACAACGTTTTCGTGAAACAAAATACATTGTCTTGACAATGTTGTCTTAATATTTTTCAACGTTGTTTCAATGTTGTTTTCAACATTTAAACAACATTCATTCAATATTGCCCAAATATTGATCAATGTGGTAACAATATTGTTACAACGTTTTCGTGAAACAAAATACATTGTCTTGACAATGTTGTCTTAATATTTTTCAACGTTGTTTCAATGTTATATGGAAATATTAAGCCAATATTAAGACAATTTTGCAAAAAATGTAGAAATAATCAATTAAAAATATTATGTTAACATTAACAGTATTTTGACTATTGTTTTTACAACATTGTTAAAGTATTTTTGTATCGGCCGTATTATTCTGTCAATATTAAGCTAATATTTTTAAAAATTCACAAAATAATTGTTAAACAATCTAAGTATTCAAAATACTTCGGCCTGCATAAATGCATAACAAAAAAAAACTCATTTTAGGTAATACTCTATTGACTGACAAAGCTATTATTAATATTTTTTTTCTTGAATAACAGTAGGCTATGCTATTTCATAAAATCCGCAAAAAGTGTTTCTGTGGAATATTGTTGACATAAGTTGTGTATATTTATTTCAAGAAAAAGGTAAAAAATAGTGTCACAATTTAAAAATATATTGTTTATTCTTTCACAAAGCCCAAAATTTACATTTTTTATAGAAGGTCAAATCACAAAAGAGACCAAAAAACCAAGCGAACAAAATATTCTTATAATATATCAAATCTATAAACAAAAGTAAATCACTTTCAAGATTTAAAAATTTATAACTGTAGGCTCAATGTATAGGCCTAGTGATTGTTGAAAAGTGTTTATATCTTCGCTGACATCTCCATAGGCCCGATTCTCTTCGACTGTAGCGGCATCCTTCCCTTTCCTAAAAAAAAGTGTTTGTGTCAAGTTTATTTTGCATGGGAATTGGGAGTATCTGAAAGTATAGAACAAGACCAGCTGCTATTTCATGTTGTTGAGGGTTGGATAGAGCTTATGAAGTAGGCTACATCAGGCATGTTTGATCTATGTTCCACGCTCTCACGGCCGCACAATTTTTATTTCAGCTAATACTGCGGTTTCATTGTGAACGAAATGAGAGTAAAAAATTTTTAAAAAAAATATAAAACCTAACCGTCATAAACTAACATAACTAACCAAACTTGCTAATAATATAAAAAGAGATAAGATAAAAATCTAATGAAGGTTTACTACCAACTCGAAAAAATTGTTCTGTTCATAAAATAAAATTATAAATGCCTCAATTTCTAACAAAAAATGAAGTAGGCTAATCACATTCTAAGCAAAATCTTTAACAAAAAGTTAGTGTCACCGGAGGGATTCAAACTGGATAACTCTTAGACATCGTTTGAGTACTCTATCCACTACACAACATCGATAGTTGAACTTCGTATCGTTACGCTAATGGTGTTCTCTCAAGAGAAGAGAGTGACGTCAGACCATGACAGCCAATAGAATGTTCTCATTTCGTCCGTATTGAAAACCGCAGCTGAAATAAAAATTATGCCTCATGGCCCACTTTAAAATAACTATTTTAAGGTTAAACGTAGCCTTGGAGATTGTTAATGGTTTGCAAGGTCTGTAATTTAAATACTCCCTTTTCCACTATTTTCTCCATTGTCAAAAAAATTTTGCATATTACCATTGACTAAATTGTTGAATAGGGCCTACTTGTATTAATAGAAAATTTTATTACAAGACATATATTAACCTATATTAGCCTATGTATGAAAGGCATGTATTTAAAAATTTAGTTAGGCAGAGATAGAGTCAGAAGAGAGTATAAAGGCTTATTTATTTACTCTTATACAAGCTCCAAATTATCTAGAAATATTTTAATATTGCTATTTATTGCCTTATTTTTAGTTAATAAAAACAAAAACTCAACATAAACAATGCGGTAGGCTGTTGTAAAATTAGTCATTCGTCGAACGATTTCCTTAACATACAACAAAACCAAAAGCTATTTTTTGCCATTATATCAAACCGTATATAGGCCTACCAATATATTTTTCAAACCGGTAGTCAATATATTTTTAGGCTACCGTACTTCAAACATTAGGTGTCAGAATCTAACTTAATTTTTTTTTTAAGTGAAATGATCAAATTTGTTTAATCTTTTAAAGAGGGTGAGCAAATTTTCGTACAAAAACCGCCATGTACTATCGGTTCAATAATGAAATACTAAGTATTTATATTATTTCGGACCAAATAGGCTCAATTCAATCGATTAGCCGATTAGCCGATCGAATGGTTGAATGAATACATATAATAAACACTGTTACCGTACCGCGACGGTACGAAGTGCTGCCATCGGTGTTCGAGGTGAAGTGGATAGTGTTCGGCTCATAATCAAATATACTTATCAATACTTATCAGATCGAATCCCACCGGTGACACTAACATTTTGTCAAAGGTTTTGCTTAGAATGTGATTACTTCTTAACTGTACATCTTTTTTTAGAATTTGAGGCATTTAAGTTATAATTTTATTTTATGAACAGAACAATTTTTTCGATAGTAAACCTTTATTTGATTTTTTCATTAACAGCATGTTTGGTTAGTTAGGTTAGGTTATGACAGTTTGCGAAATCACACGGCGTTTTTAGACGAAAAAGTGCTCACCTTTTATGATAGCCTACCTAGTTTTTACCATCTGGTTAGCCTACTTTACTAATCGATCTTGGCTGAGATTACCTACAACGTAGCCTCATCAGACACAACACTCCCTATGATTATAAATACATGTTTTGTGATTTGATTAATCTAGTCAAACGATAGGCCTAGCCATACAATATGATATAAAGCAATTATTAATGTTTAGACAATTACATGCAATTGATACTGTCATGAAAGCTTGAAAAGCACAAGTCAGTCATACAACAGTAAAATATGATACATTAAAGCAAAATAAGTTATTAAGTTCATTGTACTAAAAACCAAATTAGAGTACTGATAGCTATATAAGTCCGCTTTGAAAAATCTTTAAGTCTGTAAAAGGGCCTTACAATACAATCAACCATGCATACATCACATTCTTAAAACTATCTAGGCTAACACGCTGAGCTGACAGAGGAAATCAATTGAAAAGGTCAATTACCTGTAGCTTCAAAGGATGTTAGAAACTTGGTCAGTCTTGTGTAAAGTCTACTGATTTTATTTTGACCTCGTGCCCCATGGTTTTATACGTGCCTGCGTGCCTGTGAAGAATGAGAGTGTTTAAGTTAAGGGATTTTTGTATTTATGTAACTTAAGACACCTGCAAAAATGTACAGGTTGATTACTGTTTGAATTAGGCTTTAATTACTGCGCCATATTCATTTAAGCAGTGTGACTAAGTTAAAACAAACAAATAAGAATAGCCTATATAAAGTACAGCAAACCTTGATCGGAACAGAACAAGTTAGGCAGCTACCAACAAATTAATGTAAGTTAATTAGGGGTAATTTCCTGTTAGAGAGAACATTCATTATTATTGATGATTTTACGATCTTAGTTTTGGTTAATGAAAACAAAAACTCAACATAAACAATGCGGTAGGCTATTATAATATTAAAGAGTAATTTAATGGTACCTATTAACTAAAATAACACAACCCAACTACACTAATGTAAAGTGAAATGTAAAGTGATGATGTTAACGACTGATATTTTAGTTTAAAATATCTTTTTAGTCTAACTTATAACTGATATTAGGCTACTGTAGTTGTAATGGTAAGTTAGTGGTTGAAATTAACTTAGTAACTTAACCCTCCAAGTGTCTCTACTTTTGGTCTTAATGTTCGCCCATTTATTGCGCAATCGCAGGGTTTTATTAAAATGTATCTTAGAAACTTAAAAACAATGTAAAGTATACTGTTTTATATATCATTTTGTTTGGAAAATTATGGGCTTCAAGGTAGGCCCTAACATATAAAACATTACTAAAAAAATTTTCAACAATTTTTGTGGGGTTAACATTTCTCAAAAATTATAGCCTAAAATAGGCTAAATGAAAAAAATTTATGTTTGCGCTCAATAAGTTGTTATAATTTATCGGTCTACAAATATTTTAAAATAGCCACTTTGTTCAGAATTTTATGAGGATTCCAAAAATATAATAATATAAGGAAGTAGATTTGCAAATAAATAAGTTAAGTTATGGGCAAAAAACCGATTTCGGTACATAGCGTTTAGCTAAGAATGCATAGCCTAACCATAGCTAGGAATCTGGCTGATAATTTACATCAATATCACTACCTACTTCTTCAGGATCATCAACCAGCCCTTCAAAATCACTTAAATCTTCTTATAATGCGCCACGTATATCACTACTTTTGATTTTAACACTAAAACAATGATAAACGTAATAAAACACATCAGTCATCGGTGCGAGGTTAACCAAGCTGTTTACAAATACGCACGTCAGCTGTCTGCTACAATATTTTCGGAACTAAAATGAAGAAACAGACATCAGGAGAAAGCTCTGAATCTGCTGAAAAAAATTATACCTAACTCGATCCAGTTCAATCCGATTCAGCCAGTCCCAGAGCCATCGCCGTAAACAGTGTTTGTGAGTCGCAAAAGCGACACATAACACCACAGCGGGTGTGTTATGAGTCGCTTTTACGACACATAACACTCGGAGGGTTAAGGTAGAGCCTATCGTAAAATCAATTTAGGCCCTAGCATAAAAGTTATTTTAGGTTTTAAATAACATACCGGTATTGTTATTCTGCCTCGTGCCTGTGAAAAATGTGTGTTTAAGTGCTTTTTGTATGCAAGAGACAAGCAAAAATGTACAGGTTGGTTACTGTTCGAGTTAAGTTCAAATTACTGCCATAACTTAATCATAAGTAGTGTGACTAAGTTAAGTCATAACAAACATAAGAATAGCCTAGGCCTATAAGTTAAAGTACAGCAACCTTGACCGGTACCATTGACTATACACCTCTACTAGATTGAACACTATGCGGTCGCTTTGTTAACAATACACTGTTCTGCGTTAGTGTATGGTCCACGTAGTTATGTTAGATGACGCTAGGCGCTCTTCAAGCGCCTTTAGTTCCCTTAGATAACGTAGGATCGCGCTGCGAGCGCCCGTCGTCTGTCACTGCAGACAGCCTCGGCTACGATGCGTATTGCGATTGCGAGCCGCGAGTCCCGAGCAGTGACGATCAACTTGTTGATTAGCGCGCGGTAAAAAGTACAAATTGCTGGGTCCCCCTTGAGATATTGCGTGATATATAGCTTGCCTACTTACTTTGATTGTGTGTCTTCGTATCCATTGGCAAAAGTCAGCTGATTTTCATTAAAGCAAAATAGATAATAATTTCCAGAAACTTTTCCAAAACATGGCATATTTACGACTAAATATGATTAATACAAAAGTATTTTTTTAATCTTTATACAAAATGTTGGCTTGGAGACCATGTTATGCCTAATTTTTATCATTTCACTGAGGACGTTTTCAACACTGAACATTCTTAGAGTGAAGTTGTAAATCATAGAACAAAAGTGTACTGTCTGTATGACAGATGAATTGCTTTTTCGCAGAAGTAGTTTCTAAGTGGAATTAAATATACACTTTAGTCAACAAGTAATTATAATCATCACCTGCTATAAATTATAATATTCTTTGGTGCTTTACAATTTAATGAACTATTATTGGTTTTTGACTTAGACAAAACCCCTACTCTATTAGTATATAATGGATTAAGGAAAATGAACTACAAGAAAATTGAAACATGGTTAGAAACTACAAAGAATTAAGAACACTTATTAGAATAATATATTTAATAATAAGAATAAATGAACATACGTACATAAAAAACCAATGCACTCAAACATTACAAATCAACCTTCGGGGATCGCAGGTGATATATTACATAATACTTTAATAATGTGTAAACGGTGTAATTTTTTGATGGAAGTATATAACAAATATATATCTAAATATAGCATCAACTTGACAAATCAAATGTTCATTCTAATGGGTCAGAAAACGTTACGAGATTAAAATGTTATATTGAAAATTGTTGACAATAATAAGCAATTTATATGCTGGATACAAATGATGGTCTCCAAATTCTACAGTACTGTGCGAAAGGAAATTTATTAAATACTTTGATGAGTTTGAAATATATAAATACTAGTGTCCCTGTTGCTCGAAATCGAGCAATTGCTAAGTGTTACAGACGATATTTTAAAACAAATAACAGTAATAATTTTTGATGAATTTAAAAGATTCGACTCAAAGATTATGGAATACTCAAGATTTACATAACAGATCGATTTAATCAACATTTATATAAAAAAGATTATACAGGGTGTCCCGGAACTCTCTACCAATATTTTAGGGCATTGCTCCTGGGTAAGAAACATACCTAAATATCATATTTAAATTGTCCGGAAGTCCTTAGTTACTCACACAGCCGCCATTTTGTTTTTTTCAGTTATTAATTTTTTTTCTAAATAATGGTTAAACATACGAAATGGAAACTTTGCACAAACATTAAGAACAACTAGACAAAGCTACAAAAAAATTATGAAGATTTTTCAAATTCATAAAACAAAATGGCGGCCATTTAAAATTTTTATAAAATCAACGGTTTTTGAGCTATTTAAGAAACAACATTTTAAATGGTCGCCATTTTGTTTTATGAATTTGAAAAATCTTCATAATTTTTTTGTAGCTTTGTCTAGTTGTCATTAATGTTTGTGCAAAGTTTCCATTTCGTATGTTTAACCATTCTTTAGAAAAAAAATTAATAAATGGAAAAAACAAAATGGCGGCTGTGTGAGTAACTAAGGACTTCCGGACAATTTAAATATGATATTTAGGTATGTTTCTTACTCAGGAGCAATGCCCTAAAATATTGGTAGAGAGTTCTGGGACACCCTGTATAAAAAAAACTCATTATTTCTATTTCTTTTCCTTGGTGGTGTTCTATGGCTTTTTTATGTTTCCATAGTTTGCAAATCGGCTCTTTCAATGATTACTAAGAAATGCAGCACAGTGTTAATTCAGTTTTCTTTTTAGTATAACAATTTATCCAGGCTTTCTCGTTTTAGCGAATTTCCCTATAGGGAAGTAGCTATTACCGTAGGTGGCACGGTAAGACCTAGACCCGGGACCGATTTACTTTTTCATTTTGATGTCCCCAGAGGCCAAAAACACCATTCGTTCAAATTTTTATATATGTATATATATATATAGACTTATATATATATACGTCCGTGAACGCGATAACTTGAGTAATTTTTGTCCGATTTTGATGAAATTTGGTTTAAAAGTGTAAAGCGGGATAAACTTGAATGAGTTCGCGAACCAGCATGATCGGACCATGGGAACGGGGCTTTACGGGGGGTTTTATGGGGTAAAAATTGGTTTTTCTCACTTTTGACCCTCAAAACACAAAATTTCCCAATTTCTCTTTAGACCTTTTTAAAGAGCTTAAAAAAACAATTAATTTAGTATATAAAAGTATTTTTGTTCGGTTAATAGTAACGGAGAAAATTTAAAAATTTTAAATTTATAATTCCCATGTTATTCTTATGGAGATTATTGTAAAATATTGTAGTTTGCTTGTTTATGGATGTATTTTGTATTTCGATCAAATTTATTTATTTTGTACTAAGCTATCAATATTTTACAAAAAAACACACTTTATTAGTTTCCTTGTAGCAGCAAACCTAGGTACTCGTTAAACTTAATGTTATTAAAATATATTTAATTGAAAATCAATTAAGACGAATGGAAATTCGCTTAGTCGGCAGGTTTGCTGCGGCGGGAGTATTTTTCATTGTAATATTTACGCCAACCCAAAATTCAAATAGTAAATATTTCATTTCAACCAAGTAAGTAAATGTTTGTAGCAAACTAACTGTTAAATTTGCAAACTTATTGACTGTGTTTACAATTAACATATATCCTTTTTCTCACTTTTAATTTCTGACAACAGCTGGAGTTTCATAACAATATTTGTTTCCCATGTTAATCTTATGGAAAAATACGAAACTTGGACTAAGTTAATAAACATAAATTAGTATATAAAAATGAAAAATAGTGGATGCCTACGTTGGTAGGCTCTTATAACTTACATTCTCATTAACTTGGGAGTTTTATTTTGACCCATGGAACAATACCTAGAAGTATTCGTCACCAATTCTGAAACAGTAAATAAAAAAGTCCCTACGTTTTCACCAACATACGTTAAACACACGCACTCGAAATCGACACGACACACCGGTCAAAACTAACGACGACGTGCACAACCGTTACGACCGTCGCCGTGCTCAAACATTTGCGAACTGAAGTTTGGCAACAATACAGCTTTTAACATTTTGGCGTCAAACTAAGGGATGAAGGAGATGGCACAAAAACTTTATGACACGTCACTCAAAGGTAGCGAGCGGCATGTCATGTCCCAACGAATTGAGACGGGGCAACTCGCGCCCTACACCGTCAGGGAACGGACTACTTACACATGCCTAGTCCCCTAATTCAAATCTGTGGTTTTGACTCATTGTAGCTATTTCTCATAAAAAATAAGTATCATAATTACTCTGTTAAAATTAATTAGAAATAGCGTCTAAGCAAATATTTTTAACACTTCTTTAACTAATCAATAGTGTAACCAATATAGTGTAATCAATAGTGTAATCAATATTTTTAACTTTTTAACTAATCAATAGTGTACAGCAGGCTGTTACATAACTAGATTTACTAATGTTGATTTTTGCCATTTTATATTGTATAGTACAGTTAATGAAAGGTTCATTTTAAAATGTGTATCCGGTGTTGAAATAATCTATTTATTAATGGTGAGGCGTTCCCGAACCGTGTCATGTTGAAAACATCAAGTCAGTTGATACTTTTGTTTAATGGTTTAATGTTTCATTAACAAAAGTTGCATAGTAACAGCTGACTATCCTTACATGAACACGGTGTCAGCAGTGTCAGAGGCCAGAGTTATGTCACTCGACGTTGAGCCCGTGTGGGTGAGATAATGGAAGTGATAGTTTTATTTATTTACATCACTTCCGCCGTCATCGGCCCCGGCGACTGCCGAGCCGAGCGCCGACTAGTCTCGTCTCTCATTGTAGTGTGCTAGTGCTAGTAGCTTTCACATTCTCCGCGCGGGGGCAGCACCAGACAGAACACATGTTTCCGTTATATGACGATAGGTTGCGTTGCTCCGCACCGCTATCTGGTTATCAACTAAATGCATTACATGTTCAATCTAGTAGAGGTGTATAGTCAATGCCGGTACAGAACAAGTTAGGCCTGCTACCAACGAATTAAATAAGTTAAGGCTAAGTTAGTTAGGTACCTATGAACTAAAATAACACAGATACCCAACTAAAGTGATACGGTAATGTTAACAACTGATCTTTCAGTTTTAAAATAATTTTAGTATAAGCTTAACTTTTTACTGTTAAGGCTACTGTAAGTAGTTGTAATGGTAGGTTAAGCTACTTAACTTTAGAGGTCGAAATTAGCGAAATTAGTGTAGTAAAATCGATCAATGCAGGCCCTAGCATTAAAATTATTCTTGGGATTAAATAACATTAAGTTGTTCCGCTTATAAAAAGGCCAACGGTAACTTAATGTAAGTTAGGCCTAGGCCTAACTTACTTTAAATTTACAAAATATTGACCAATTCATAGGATAATTAAATTTTAGCCTACTTTGAAGTTGTAAATTGGCTTTGGTATGTAACTAAAGTTTAGGTAAAATAATATTGACATCCTAGGCTATGTCAAAGGTTAAACTGCAATCCAATGGCAAAACAGGAAAACGCATTTTCGTCTAAATTAAGGTTAGGTAAAAAAGATGTGAGATGATTCAAGCCTTGGAGATGATTAAGTTATAACTTCAATTTTCTGGGCAAATGCATTCACAATGATCTCAATGATTAGGCTAGGTTTTACTTTTTCTTTCAGCATTCAAATGAGTTTTTTTTTGTTTGCTTATAAATATTAGCCTTATAGGCCTAACATATTTAGCCTACATACATAGCCTTGCATACTATCACACTTACATATTTTATTTGTGTGTTAACAACCAATCTTAGCAGTTGGTACTGCATTTGTAGGTTAAAAGATTTTAATAAATTAGGCTTGGCTCTATTAAGTTACGACTAGAGTGCAAGCCTAGCCTACTTTGATATGTAACTATGAATGCAAAACTTAACTTGATAACAAGATGCACTTACCTTAAAGCTGGTATCTCAAGTTGACCACCATTAAAAACCTGTATTCAGCGTCAGCCGTAAATAATTATTATACATCAGAATCTCAAAGCAAAGGGAAAAATACAATCATTGCAACATGGTGTGAAGTAAGTGAAATAAAAATTACGAGATTGAGACTAGGACTAGGACTAGAGATGATTGATTGAAATGAAAGATGCTCTGGAGCTGCCGAGTGCCGATGACGGAAGATGAGATCAAGAAGATGGATGCTAGCTACCAATACCATGCTAGATGCTAGCGAATCTATTTCTAATAGATAGATCCATCCGCGCGCGTTTTAATGGCGCGCACAAGAAAATAGTTCTAATTTAAATTGAAGATATTTTTGTTTCTACCCGTTTGGGTAGAATTTTTATTTTAGTATTTTGTTTTTAGCATCAACCTTATTCCCTTTATTACTTAATAAAAGCCTAGTTTATATTTATTTTGATTTTCAGGATGAGCTGAGTCCATAAACAGTTTTCAATCTTATTACCTAACGTTGTTTCAATGTTGAAATAAAAATTATTTCAACATTATTCAATATTGACAACAATGTTTTCAATAAATGTTGATCAATGTTGGGAAAATAATGTGTTAATGTTGAAATAATGTTTTTTCAACATTAATCAATATTATCAAACAATATTTTCTTAAAACGTTGATCAATGTTGGGAAAATCTTGCTTCAACATTAAAACAATATTCTCAGAACAATATTGTTGACAATGTTAAGCAACATTATTTCAACATTTTAACAATATTGTGTTGCTACTTGGGAGGTATGAAATATACTATTTCACAATATTTTTTTGATGGTTAACTAAAAATAAAATAAAAACACACAAATTATATCCAATTTATATAAAAATGTATACCTCCAAATAGCTCGTTATCAACTAATTTATTTTGAACTTTATAGTAAAACAACTTACTTACAGCTTATTCAAACAAATTCTCTATGAGTACAGCAGTATAATCTTGCTAGAGCTGGTCTATGTAGATTCTCTACTTCAGTCCCTGAAATAAATTGGTCAAGTCTTAGTGAAAATAAATAGACAAATGGTGTTCAACCGTAGAAGAGCCATTAATTTGTACAATTTTTTCCAACCACACAAATGCGTATTAGGGTGCATCATCCCTCGCACAATTTTTTGTCCCCTGCTTATAAGGAAATGCAAAGAAAAAGTATTAATTTAAGTACAAATCAACAAAAATTGGATAGAAAACCTCAAAGAAAGGAATTACATTCAAATGTATGCCAAATCGGTGACACATGTGTATTGGTCATAATTAGCACTGGCTTGAACACCAGCAGTCACCTCATACCAAGTGTGAACATTTGTTTTGCAGTGCTATCTCTTTACAATACAACAACTTAATTAAACTTTGGATGGTTATAAAAATTACATTTTAACAATCAGTAAGTTAACCATTAAGTGGCTTAGAAAGAAATTAAAAAATTTGATTTTTTAAGGGTCTAAAATGGGAATATTCCTCCGTTGTAAACCTGTTAACTTAAGCCAATTTCCATTTGTCTGATAGGATTTTGACTAATATATTTCCTTAAAAATTTCAGATGTATTCCCTATTTAAATAACACTAGCAGGGTATCCGTTCTTCAAACGGGGTAAGCGTATAAGTATAAAATGCTTATTTGCAGTTATACTCGTGCTTTACGTTTGCAATGGGGGAGGATAAGGTTTGAGAAAATTTGGTTCTTTATATTTACGGTATGCTATAGTATTACACATCTACCATAGTCATACTGTTCTACCACTGCACCTAAACAATAGAAAAAAGTGCATTATCATCCAAACATTCACACAATATCACAAATTATTTATTTAATTAAAAACATAAACTTAACTGTAAACAATCCTACTTTGACAGTTATTTGTATATGCCAGCTTTTTGATGCTGCTTACTTCAAATTATACTCCGCACCAAAGCTGGTGGCGGCTGAGGGATTAGGACGGCCAGGTAGGACTATATAGGTTGGACCTGCTCACCGACCAGAATACAGTACAAGATATTTCATAAAATTTTAATTTTGTTGAATGGCAGGAGATCTTTTGTTTACAGTTTGGTTTCAAGTGGTTTTTTGATGAATAGCTTACATATATCTTTACAATTGTAATCAATCGTAATCTACATAGCAATAAAGTGAAGCTCATCAAACTTGTTTACACGGGTTAAAGTGAGAAGGTCAAGAAGTTGTTATCTTTCATGTCATATTTTTCATGATTAGGTAGGTACTCACTTTTCCAAACATGTTCAAGTATACAACCGAAGAAATAATGAAATTTAAGTAGTGCTATGTCCACCCACAGGATTTAGATTTCCTAACCAAAGCAAAAGAATATTATGCAAAAAGTATCATATCTGGAAAATTTAAGGTATCGGTATAAGTGTATAACATATTTTACGAAATAATTTTGTTTGAGTTTTAAAAGTCCATGTATGGATATTTCAGTTTAAGTGCCATATAGGATTTTTTCTAAACCCTAGTTTTGTTATCTACCTCAACCCTTTGTTAGATAGCATCATTAACTGATAGCACATGACAGATAGCCTCGTAACTTTTTTATTTTTTGAGAACTAACGAAAAAATTTGGGAACTATCGAGGACTAACGAAGAACTAACGATTGATATATAGATGTAAACATTTCTCATCAGAAAACGGCACGCGTTAGAGCCCGGAAGTGTGAAGTTAGGGTACCCACTTATTATCGGCTATAACTTTTTTATTTTTTGAGAACTAACGAAAAAATTTGGGAACTATCGAGAACTAACGATGAACTAACGATTGGTATGATCAAAAGTGGATACGCTAATATGGGTACGCCAACTTCATGGACCTGCTTCTAAGAGTTGTGAGTAAGAAAGAGTGGCTACCGTAATGAATATTTTATATGATGTTACCTATACCAATTTCACTGAGGAAATAAAATCAATTTAAAGAAAACAATATTTAATGTGTTTATGTTTATTCAACACGAGGATTATTTCTTATTCTTTGTAAGAAAAATCAGTCACGCTGTTCATTCAAAAATCTTCTTAAGTGTGTAGCCCAAGGTCAGAGCCATCAAATTTGACAAGCAAAATGCTGTGAGTCTAAGAGATTCTTTCAAGTCTTATCAGTATACAGTTAAGTAGTTACTCATTTACACAGCTCTCGCTCCCATTGCCAAATCTTTATTGTTAAAGACTCTTAGATAACAAATGGGCTTGTTACTGACCTATATTTTTAAAGAATACAGAATACAGCCTGCTTTTATCACTAATAATGATCCAATGCTAACCAAGGACAATGCCATAATTTATTTTAATCAACTCATCCTGCATTCATTTTCAAATTAAACCTATACTACATATTATCTGTATACTATACTATTATCAGTATATTATACTATTATCAGTATATAATACTAATCAGTATATTATACAGTACTATTATCGAATTTGTTGGCATTGGGGTAAGGTTTTGGTTCCTTGCTCAATAAACATGTAATTCTTAACATTTTAATACTTTTATTTAAACTTATAAATAATAGTTTACGACGCAACAATCGCTTAAAGATAGAGTATTTACGACACAAAAGGCACGAAAAGTGCCTTAATCTTCTACTAGTTTCGTACACAAGCTGCTTACACTACTAACTTAAACTACGTTGGTTAGTAAGGTTTGTAAAATATTATAACCTATACTCTTTCTGTATAGGTTTATTTTCTTTAGGGAATAGGTGTACTATGCTGGTAGAAGAATGCTGGTGTGTTCCTTATTTGAAGTTAAAGGGGATTTCCTAGCTACGGGATATACGCCGTAGCGGGGTACGGCGTTCAATGCATTTTTAGACCGAACCGCAGACAACGACGGACTAGTGTTTTCCTAGACTTCGCGGAGTGTGGACTCGTTGCACAACAACACAAACTCCTTGCTATTCCGTTGCTGACTGTGACATAGACTCCTCTAGAATGAGTCAACGCGGCCCGCTGTCTGAAACTGCGCTGGCAGAGTGCAGTGTACGATTCCTAGGAAAACACTCTTATACGTATCACTGTGTATTGTGTGTTTTCTGCGGACTCCATAGGCTCAACACAGCACCCAGCTGCGGCCGTTACCCCGCAGCTAGGAAAACCCGTCTTTACCCAAAAATGATATTTTTGTGGAAGATTTAGAGAACTAAAAATTGCTGCTTTCCGGACAGAATGATGAAAATGATTTTAAAAATGAAGACATCTATAACTATAAAAGAGGAAGTATGTATGCATATACCCTATGGAATCGAAAACCACTCGACAGATATTGTAATGAAACCTTCAGGCATTATTAAACATTATTCAAGAATGGTTTGTGTGATGTTTGGTGTAGATCCGTCAAAAGCGCTCCGCCTCAGAGGGTGTTAAGGGTTCTAATGTTAGGCTTTTGGGACTACAATTTTACAAATAAATATAATTTAAAGGCAGATGTTTACTTTCACCAACTGTTTTGTAGGTTTGAACAGTCACAACATTCTGTATTAGTCATGATTTGAAATACAGTAGTAGGCTACAGAAAACTATTTTACTTTTGGATAAGTCCAACGATTTCTCTGTAACTAAATAAACAATATATTATTAATGTGTTCTGAATATCGAGGTCAAAGGAACAATTATTTGCTATAGAGTTTCATATAATATTTTAAGGAATGGCACCTGCTGTCTCCTATCACTTTATGATTACCATATTTATAATAGAGAAGAGAAGAAGTTCTTGATGAGTACAATCCCCTCCACCCCAGGGATACTTTAAGTTAATGGTTAACAAAAAGATCGTAAGTTAAATGTAATAAGGTTCAACACCTCAACACAGTGATTTTATTGTGTGTACTAAGGTGTACCCTTCCTTTAAAACTACAAACATCCTTTAAAAAAAATTATCTTACTTTAAACATTAGTAACTTAAAACATCTCATTGGTAGTCTCATAATTAAGAGACAGCAGTTTGTTGTTCACTTTAAGGTAGTCACTAGCCAATAACTTTGGTGTGTCATAGTTACTAGTTTCCCTTAGTTTTGTCTTCTTTGATTCCAGGCATTTATATTGGAGATAAGTTTAAAGGACAGCTAAGATGAGTTTTACAAATGTCCAAAGCACATCAAAGTGACAACATCTAGTAGAGGCAACATGGCAGCTTCACGGCTACCACAGTATATTGCTGCTCTTGTAGGTTGGTACTAATTCCTCATCTATCTATCTATCTATACTATTATAAAAAAGAGGTGGTTGCTGTATGTGTGTATGTGTGTATGGGAAAAGTAAACTCGAAAAATACTGGTCGGATTGGGCTGAAATTTGGCATGATGATAGCTCACATTCCCGATTAACATATAGGCATATTCTTATTTCAAAAATCCTTTCGGGCTCCGCCCCAGTGGCTCTGGAGTTTCCCATGTTAACCTTATGAGAAATGGAATTATTGAATCTTAACAGCTGTTTCAATTAAACAAGTTGGTTCTGTTCTATGATGTTCAATAGCATTAAAGTTACAAGGATTACCAACAGGGTGCAGCACTATTATTTCTTTTACATTTATGACAACAGCTAATTTGCAACCAAAAGGTGAGTGAGCGTAGCGAACGAACTTCAACCTGGAGGCGAGTTAGCGTAGCGAACGAGCTAACCTGAAGGCAAGTGAGCGCAGCGAACGAGCTCCAACCTAAAGGTGAGTGAGCGTAGCGAACGAGCTCCAACCTAAAGGTGAGTGAGCGTAGCGAACAAGCTCCAACCTAAAGGTGAGTGAGCGTAGCGAACAAACTTCAACCAGGACGTGATTGAGCCATGCGAACGAGATAATCTTGAAAATTAAGAAGTTAAACGGGGCAAAGCCCGCGGGTTACAGCTAGTCTAACATAATATTAATTTATCTACTAACATGTATTTTATTCTAAACAGAACAGACTAAAAATTTAATTTAATTGCAGCAAAAACAGCTGTTTTTAATACATGCGTTGAGGGTCTGAAGTAGCTCTTTTTAACACATTTTTAGTCCCTGAGGAGGTAAAAGTCAGCTGTTGTAAACACAGTTCTAAAAGTCATTTAAATGCAATCGCATGTTTCGAAAGTATACCTTATATTGCTAGTTTTAATTGGTTGTGGCTTATTGTTGCATTCTTGTTAACAGTTTTTTTTTTTTTTTTTTTTTTTTTTTTTGACATATCGGTATATCAAACAGTCGGGACCACGTAAGTTTTCAGTTGAGGGAGGAGCCTATTCACCATATGGATTTGAATGAACTAGAGAACTGTGCGGTATTGATGTTGCCAAATCTAATAATACCAGCTGATTTGAAAATATTGCTTAGTATATTTTAATTAGTGTTGTCAACGGGCGATGTGGCAACGTCGCACTAGCCTTGTCTTGTGATTGGCTGCCACCAACTGCAAACTTACGTGGTCCCGACTTTTAAATGATTGAATCACTTGCCAAACAGCTGCTGAGGTTATCTTTACATGACAGGTTCTTTTGTTTTCTAACTTAGTTTGCTTAAATAAATGCAATACGATAAAAAATATAGAGGTAGTTCTTTGCATGGGTAAAAATGTCATTTCAACCCTCATTAATTTTCCGACTTTGGCTTTGCTATGATCTCGCTCGGGTCAAAAAGATCCATTTTATGCTCTAGTGATGAAATATACTAGTATAGTATAGTACTACATAGTACTACCTTAACAATGAATACTAACTATCTAAATGCCATAAACGGTGAGAGCCCTGAGGGCTTAGGTCACATGTTGGCCTGACTTGAAGTAATGTGACAAAGAATTCCAGGTCTGTGTCCAACAGAGTAGAGGGGGTTTTTTAGTGAGTAGTCTGTGATAGTTTCAGGAGTCTCACACTACAGGCTGGCTACCTGTGTGCGTAAAAGCATTTTCCCTCCTCCCCCTTGAAAAAAAAAATAAATTAAAAAAAACCTTAACAATGTACCGTACTACCTTCATTGTTTTATTGTAGCAAATTTCCCATATAGGTAGGCCAAAATCGATTTAATTTTTCGTTTTGAGGTCCCCAGAGGCCAAAAACACCCTCCATTCAAATTCATATATATATGTCCGTTAGCGCGATAACTCAAGCAAAAATGATCCGATTTTGATGAAATTTGGTACAAACGTGTAAACCTACGTTTATTTAAAAGAGAACCAGCATGATCGGACTATGGGAACGGAGGTTTATGGGGGGTTTTATGGGGTAAAAGTTTGTTTTTTCCATTTTTGGTTTTTCCATACAATAAGGGTTTTCATGGGAAAATAACATAAGTGAAAATAACTTTTGAAACATACTTTTCACAGGAATCAGAGTAGTACCATTTTGTCCAGATTTTAAAGGACTATAACATACTAAATTTCTACCAAAAGCATCCATGCTGTTTTTGAGAAAAAAATAATTTTTTAGTTATTTTATCGGTTTTTATGGAAAAAAACTATTAAAAATCTAAATTTAAAAAAATTTAAATTCACCTGGATGAATCATGGATTAGTAGTAAGTACCTACATACCAAATTTCATCAAAATCGCGGACTACAGGTGTGGTCTGCAGCTCTGTACACATCCATACATAGAGATAGACACACACACACACACCAACACACACACACACACCAACACACGCACACACACACACACACGGACAAATATCACTTCAAAAACCACTTTTTTGGGTTCAGGGTGACCCAAAACAGATACATCCATTCAAAACTCAAATTTTTGACAAAAACAATACTTTATCCATATAAGTTACTAGGGGAGAAAGTAAAAATGATAAACTAGAACAATTAATTATTGGGACCACAAGAAATTCAAAACAGTAACATATTTCAGGTTTTAATCTGGTGGCCGTGTTGTGATGATCTCTTAAATAACCAATACTCGCATTCACCAAAAGTGGAGGAAAAGTGGAGGTAATTTATATTTTCTTACAAGTTTTACAGATTCTTAAAATGTTAACTATTTTTAGCGAACCTAGGAGCCCTAAACCTGGGTACCAATCTAGGCTGGACGTCCACAGCAGAGTATCATATCAAAAGGGAGCAGCAGTATGGGTTCCCAGTGTCAGACTCCCAGTTCTCTTGGGTCAGCTCGCTGATGCCCCTAGGAGCACTGATAGCTGCCCCAGCAGTAGGCTGGCTGGTCACCACCATCGGTCGCAAGTCATCCATGATTTTCCTGTGTGTTCCCTCTGTGATTGGCTATGGCCTCTTAGCCTGGGCTCAGAATGTAAGTTAAAGTAGGTAATCATGTATGACTAGATAGTTGCTTTATCAATGCTTCATAATATGATAAGAACATAACAGATACCGTAATATGTAGATCTTAAAATGAACCAGTAAACAAAGATAAACCAACCACTTTTTATATTTTTGTTGCCATGGAGACCAATTGATACTCACTTCCGGTAAACTTTGGATGGCCACAATGCATAGCCTGGGCTGGTATATTGAGGAGTTTCTTTACACAGCTACCTATGTGTTTAATATGCATATTTTTAATATACAGTGTGTAAATTAAGTATTGAAACAAATCTTTATTTTTTAAACCGAAATAGATAGAAATATTCTGTTTGTAGCATTGATTCTTAACAAAGGTTCCGCAATGTTTTACACCAAAATAAGTTTTTAACCCCTTTTAGGGTAGGGGGTAGGGGGTGACTTATATTTTTTCAAATAGCAACCCCCTCATTTTGTAGGATTTGTGAAAAGAAACACAATGCAATGATGCAAATCCGAGGTAGATATTTCATCCCTAGCCTAAATGGTGGGTGTTCCAAAATTTGATTTATGTGAAAAAGCACCTATTTTGGAATACCTGCCATTTTAGCTAGGGGTGAGATATTCATTTCGGGTTTGCGTCATTGTGTTTCTTTTGACAAGCCCTTCAAAATGAGGGGTCACTCAATAGAGGTTGCTATTTGAAAAAAAGTCACCCCCTACCCTGTTAAAGGGTGGAAAATTTTGTTTTGTGTAAAGAATTGCGGAACCTTTGTAAGAATCGATGCTACAAACAGAATATTTCCTATCTATTTTGGTTTAAAAAATACAGATTTTTTACACACTGTATGAGATTACAAGTTGAGCATACAAATTTGCTGCTTTCAGTATAAAAATAAAGTAAACAATATGCTCGCAAGTCGCAATAATAATAGAACAATAATTTCTCAAACCTTTTAAGCAATGTTTTTTGTTTCTATTTTATTAGGATCAGAACATGCTAACTTACCAGGACTTGCTGGTTTCTAAATGGAGTGTTTGTGTTCTGTATTGTTTGCAGGTTCCCATGCTGTATATAGGCAGACTACTGACAGGAATGAGTGGAGGAGGGTTTGGCATAGTTGTGCCTCTTTACGTTGGAGAGATTGCCGAGACCAACATTCGAGGAACTCTAGGAGTCTGCTTCCAACTGCTGTTAGATATTGGCATTTTGTTCACTTACATAATTGGAAGTCTTGTAAGTGTACTTTGGTTTTAGTTTTAAAATTCCAGGTAAATACAGCCTTAGAATAGGAATTTATATTAGTTTTAAAGATACAAGATTATATTAATAATAAAGTTTCTCTATGAAGCTAATAAGGATCACAAACTTTTGAGAAAATCGTAAGCCCCATCTATCAACAACATACTAATGAAAGGTCTTAACTTCCAAAAATATCTGTTTTCTGATAAATCCTCTATACTAATGGCATGAACACCAAAAATAATTCTTAGGACGACTTTATAAATTTAAAACAAAGAGAGATATCACACAATAATTTGGCTTATCATTGTTGGTAATAATAGTAAGCTACTTTTTTTGTGTACATGGTGATCGGATGTCACCTATGGGGGACGGCCCATAGGGAGTAAGTTGAAAATCTTAAAGGGAAGCATAGGTTGATATGTACTGTACATCAAATTAAAGGTCTTTCTGAACTGAAAACAATGCCCCAAACCTGACCTCAAGTGGACAATCGAGTAAAAAAGACAGCTGTCCAAAGATTCATTGAATTTGCAATGCTTGTCAATTCCGCTAGAAAACGGAAGAAAATCATTTAAGCGTAAACATGAGTCGATATTCACATCAAATTAAAGGTAATTTATTAGTAGTAGAATACAATGTCACAATTTTGAGCTCAAAAGAACAACTGAGTAAATAATTGCAGCTGTTTAAAGATTCAAAATGACAGATTAAAAAATCTCCCTATGAGCCGCTCGCCATAGGTGACATCCATTTATCATCTACACAAAAATGTAGCTCACTATTACCAGTAATGATATGCCAAATTTGGTTGTGAGATCTCTTTTTGTTTTAAAAGTTATAAAGTCGTCCCAAGACTTAATTGACAATCTGAATATAGATTAAAGTTTTTCACATCTTAAAGTACTATAAAAGTGCTAGCTTTGACTAGTCAATGGTGCTAGGCTGTAGGAATAAAAAATTAAAACATTCTATTTTTGCAAAATTTTTAATTACATGTTTTTGCCAATTGCGCGGAATATGAACTCCGATTTCAAATATATATATTTTTTTTCCTATGTACCAATTGCAACATTTTCACACTATAGCAACTTAATTTTCACAACTTCAATACGCACCACCCTACACTCCACATTCAGAAGTAATGATCAATGTTGATATTCTACCTTGGACTAGTTTAATGATAAGACATATCTTTGCAGGTGAGTGTGAAACTACTATCAATATTTTGTCTTTTGATTCCCGTGATTTGTGGTGTATCAGTGGTATTTATACCAGAATCTCCAATTTACTATCTGGAAAAGAGTAAAGACAGGGAAGCAGAAGAAGCCCTACAATGGTTCCGTGGAAGTGGGTACAACATTCAACACGACTTTACTGTCATGCAACAAAACATACAGGAGGTAGGAGCTTGAACTATTTGGTACGATATAGGCCTAAAGGTTAAATGACAGCAATAATTATAACCTTCAGTTAAACCAAAAAGTAATATAAATGATATGCATTTTGATTGAAACAAAAAAAAAACGTTAATAGTATTATCAATGGTTAAAACGTTTGATTTTTAGTTTACTTAATTAATTGTTGATGCGAGTTTTCCAATACAAATATTAACAGAGTATCAATGTTGTTAGATAGTTAATGTATTACTTAATAATATTAAATAGCCTACAGGCTATACAGTGTTAAAGAACCTAGTACAGTAGAAACCCCTCTTTTAAAACTGACCCTAATGGGACTGGACCAATGTCGGATAAGTCAAAAAGTCGGTTAAAACGGGCAATCCCTTAACTTAATAAAATTAAGTGCTATTTATTTGGAACTATTTAATCACTATTCTGAAGTCGTGCGTGCATTATTAACAAAATAAACTACACTCTTATCTAATTTTTTTTTAAGTATTGACAATATAAATGTCACAAATAAACACAAAACACGGTAAAGTTAAATACTTTCAGTGGAATAGATTGTAGTCTTAGGCAATAGTAATAGTCAATAAAAATTCTTATTTCAATACCCTTAGTAATATTAATAATTAATGTTCTCCAAATCCATTGTAATACACTACAGAACTTATTGTAGAAATTAAAGATACAAGCAAGCAACCATTGCGTAACGAGACAGGATGTTTATTTATAGCATGTAACATTCTGTAGAACTTAGCGTATTCCCTTAACTGAGCAAGAGAGTGGAAATGCCGAGAGTCCTAGAAAGCGGCGGTTAAACCAAAGTGCTCACAAACTGTAATATTTTACGAGGGATGGCGGATAATCCCATTATTGGACAATGCAAGGTCGGTTAAGAGGTCTACTGTATTTTTTTTAAATAATCAAATTGAATTTTTTAAAAGATAAAATACAAAATGTTATTTACTTTCAGGTCAAAGATTCAAAGGTTACCTTTTTTGAAGCATTTTCATCAACAGCTGCCAAAAAAGGTTTGGTAATATGTTTAGGACTTATGTTATTCCAACAGTTTTGTGGAGTTAACAGCATTGTCTTCTACACAGATATCATTTTCAAGGTAAGTTTAATTACCGTACCTTAACAATGTGTAATAGTTTGGAAAGAAAATTTCTCCTATTCAAAGTTAAAAAGTATTTATGCATACAGTTTGAAGTAAGTTTAACAAAAGGGTGTTTTTTTTTTCTTTAGTAAGTGTCGTTTTTGTGTATAAATTGGTAAATCTATTTGTATGCCGCAATGAGGCTCCTCGCAACTTACTGGCATCATTTGTGAACAAAATGACATCATTTGCAGCTCTTTATCTGACATGTACAATTCGCTGTGATTTAAAATTTTTTAAACTACAGAATCTCCCTCCGCATGCCTTATTTGAGATAAGGTCAGTGATAGGTTTATACCACAAGAAACACATATTCTATGCCGACATCCATCACCAGATGACTGAAATTTATGACCCTAATGTAATGATCGTGGTTGTGGTAGAGGGATTGATTATGATTCATGATATAGTAATACAAGTCTGAACAAGTCTCTTTGACTGAGGGATAAAGGGTAGATTGGCTTGCATGCTATATAGACGTTTAGCGCTACATGGCCAATCAGTTTACTTGCCATTATGGTTGTTTCAAGTTGTGTAGAACATTATAAATTGTAACAATTTAAAAACTATTTTATTTACTTATTCAAGTATCTGGTATCTAGCTACTAGTAGCTAATATTCAGCCAGACACTAGATACAAATTGTCCAGATACCGGATTGTAAATGGATATACATTCCACCTCTAAAAAAATAGACAGAGTTTGAAAATATTTTTTCATCATACTGTCTGAAAAGCAGCCAATTTTTTCTCTCAAAATTGTCAGTAAAATCATCGTTTTCGGGTAACTTCAAATAAGGAACAGAAAAAAACATATGGTAAATTTTTCAGTTCACATTTTACACATTTCAGAAGCACCTCAAAATGTTACCAGTGCATTATAAAAACAATGCTAAATGTACACAATATTTATACAACCCTAAAGTTATGTTTGCAAACAACAAAAATGTAAAAGTTGATGACGACTTTGTATTTGTTTTTCAACGAGAAGGTTATTTCCACAGTATGATGAAAATAGTTTTTTTATGAAAAGAGCCACTTTCGCCCCTAGTGATGAAAACTAAGTTATAAAATGCTTTATTCAAATTCAACCTCAACCTCAACCACTGGCGCCCCTGGGCATATGACCAGTCTGCCCGTTTATAAAAGTGGGCCTGTGTCAATCCTATGAAAGCTCATTAGAAAAACAACTCCATAAAATATTTGGGAAAAAAATACAATTTTATAAAAACAATAGCCTATATTATACTTTTACATATTAGTTGAAATATTCACATATATCTGGATCCGTTGTAAGCTGCTGATCCAAGGGATACACAATTTTGTAGTACATGATAATTTCTTAAGTTGTGTTTATCATAATGAGTGTAGTAACCCAAGCTGGTATGTGTTCAGGAGGCCGGCAGCAGCCTCGACTCTAACGTCCAGACCATAGTGACAGGTCTGGTGAATCTGTGCTTCACCTACGTGTCGTCCATTGCTGTGGACAGACTAGGACGCAGGCCCCTGCTGCTTGTCTCTGACATCGGGATGGCCATCTGCACATTCCTAATTGGGCTCTTCTTCTTCATGAAAGACAAAAGCTACGACATGGACTCTGTCACATGGGTTCCTATCACTGCAGTTTGTCTGTACCTAATCTCATTTGCCCTCGGTTATGGCCCATTACCTTGGGTGTTCCTAGCAGAAGTATTCCCTAGAAAGATTGCAGGATATGCGGCTTCGGTAGTTTGCATGTTCAACTACTTCTGTGTTTTTATCATAACAAACTTCTTTGATGATATCAGTTCGCTAGTGGGGAGAGGAGGTGCATTCTTCATTTTCACAGCATTTTCAATTGTCGGAACACTATTTGTAATCTTCATAGTGCCGGAAACAAAAAATAAGACCTTAGAGGAGATTTTAAAAGAGTTGGAAGATTGATAAGGAATAATTTGAATATGAAACCTGGACAATGTACTAAAACAAAATGAGTACAGTAGCTAAATTCTTAAAGTAAATAAATATATGACAGAAGAAATTTATGATTAGGAAATGGTGAGTAGGTTGTCATGAAAAGGATGAAAAACATTTTGAAGGCCAATTCAATAAAAGGACCTATCACTTTTGAATGAATTGAATATTATTATTTGTTTTTAATTTTTTTGATTTGATAAAAACATACGACAGTACCTTTTCAGAAGGAAAATAAGTTTCATGCAAATAAAACTATTTACAACACAAAATGCCATGGAATTAGTAGTGCTAGATACATTTTTGAACAAATAAAATAAAAATAAGTTTGTTACTTTTGGTGCACGAACTGGACCTCGTCGACAAGCTTTACAAACTTGGCGAGTCCAAGCTGTAGTATTTTTTTTAAATAAATATATTTGAATTTTAGTTTTCAAATTTATAAATGTTATAATGTCAGTCCTCTAGTGTAACATAAGTTAAGAAGTTAAAATATTGTAAAATGTGTTAGTATAAAATGCTGTCTAAATAATTAGTTTATGTATGTAAAAAGTGTTATGTGTTCATATTTTTTGTTATTATATTACTATCTAGGTATATATTAATAGGCAAGCATTTTTCTTCGTAACCTTTTTTCTCAGGTCGTGTGCATTGCAGGGAAAATCTACTCATAAGAAAGATATTTGCCTGTAGATGTGCAAAATACCTCTATAAATTAAAATACAACAAAAATTTACAACAAAAATTAATTTAAAATTCTAAAAAACTAACATGGGGCTTATGGGTTACCATGCTGACAAAAGAACAACGCAATATAAACAGAAGATCAAAACAAATGGAAGAATCAATTGTTCCAATCACATGTTTTATTAGCAACGCAGGGTGAAAATAGAGAAGTCTGTACACTACATATTTTTGGTTGAGTTTTCGACCACTAGACGACCTCTAGGTAGTTTTATTAAATTAAAACAGTACAGAGTAATGCAAACTGCCCTTTTATTAATACTTGGTATACCAAATAAAAATGTCCATTATTATAATTTGTAAACAATTTTATGTTTAAATCATTTGTTTATTGAGAGTTAAGTATATTACATGTTATAGTTGATTATATTATATTTGAGATGTTCATGTTTTAAATCATATTAGGCTATCACAGTTGATGATTTTATGAAAACACTATCACACTGACTCCAACAAGGATCATCTTGTCGGCCAATAAATACTAACACAATTAATACCCCTACGAAGAAAAGAAAATAGAGACCCAAACATATGACATCCACTCGCACTCTCATTACCTCTGTGGTAAACAATGTCTTCAACTCAACAATACTTGACTATTGTTTTAAGGTACCTATGTAATGAATGACAGACAGTTAAAGTATAAACAAAATATAAAAACTTCACTAGGACTGTTGTGATGAACCTAGTGCATACAATATCACCACATAAACAAGCATGAATAAATAGAAATTCTATTGTTTTGCACTTTTGCATTGGTCTTTACTTTGACAGTTAATTCATCAGCAAGTCTGTGCATAGTTGACGTACTGATATTGTTTCATTATAAAAGGCAAAGCTTCTACATCTTAACAGAGCACTATATTACAGAGCTTAAACTCTTATTATCTTTTTCAAAACCAGAGCCTAGACACTAACTAACTGAAAATCTATTCTTATTTAATACGCAAGCAGGTTTTTTGTGACAATTACTCCTCCGAAACTACTGAACCGATTTAAATGTTCTTGGTGCCATTGGAAAGAGCTTAACGTGAAGTTGTGAACCAGATCAGCTTTTGAAAAATAATAAGATATTTACAAGAAATGTGATTATATCGATCTGTTATGTACATCTTGAGTATTCCATTATCTTTGAGTCAAATCTTTTAAAGTCATCAAAAATTATGACTGTTATTCGTTTAAAATTAAAATAACGCCTGTAATACTTAGCAATTGCTCGATTTCGAGGAACAGGGACATTAGTTAATTTTATATCAAAACAGAATTTATACCTGTTTAAATATTTTTTTAATATTCTATGCTTTTTGAGCGGAGCGAGCGAAGCTCTTATACGTCGACTCTAATGCATTTCGTAATACGCAAACTCCTCCTAGACGGCTGAATCAATCGTTTTCAAATTTTGCATGGTGATAAAGACCATATCGGTGAGTGCCAACATCTATATGGCGTTAAAAAAGTCTCTCAGGAATCCGCCCCACTGGGTCTCAAAGTTTCAATGTAATCCTTATGGAAGCAGTATTTGACACATAAACAAAGTCATATGATCAGCTGTTTTTGAATGCAGTAAATAAAGAAATAGCTGATAGCATTATTCCACAGATATTAGAACAGAAACGGTATGGATCATAAATATAATCAAATGACGACACTAGCTTGAGGTCCTTGACGTAGGAAGTGGTGAAGGAAGTAGTAAAGGTTAGCAGTCTGGAGTGTGGAAACTGTTTATGACGATTAGATTAAGGTATATGCATTCCTAAAATTCTATGGGAAGGGATGAAAACAGGTCCACGACGTAGGAAGTGGTGAAGGAAGTAGTCAAGGCGAGCTGTCCGGAGTGTGGGAACGGTTTATGACGATTAGATTGAGGCATCTGCAATCCTAAAATGCTATTGGAAGGGAAGGAAACATGTCCGCGACGTAGGAAGTAGTAAAGGCAAGCAGTTCGGACTGTGGAAAATGTTTGTGACGATTAGATTAAGGTATCTGCAATCCTAAAATGCTATGGGAAGGGAGGGAAACAGGTCCGCGACGTAGGAAGTAGTGAAGGAAGTAGTCAAGGCAAGCTGTCCGGAGTGTGGGAACGGTTTATGACGATTAGATTGAGACATCTGCAATCCTAAAATGCTATTGGAAGGGAAGGAAACAGGTCCGCGACGTAGGAAGTGGTGAAGGTAGTAGTAAAGGCGAGCTGTTCGGGGCGTGGGATGTGTTTATGACCGTTAGATTAAGGTATCTGCAATTCTATGATGCTATGGGAAGGGAGGGAAATAGGTCCGTGACGTAGGAAGTGGTGAAGGAAGTAGTAAAGGCAAGCAGTTCGGACTGTGGAAACTGTTTGTGACGATTAGATTAAGGTATCTGCAATCCTAAAATGCTATGGGAAGGGAGGGAAATAGGTCCGCGACGTAGGAAGTGGTAAAGGAAGTAGTCAACGCGAGCTGTCCGGAGTGTGGAAACTGTTTATGACGATTAGGTTAAGGTATCTACAACCCTAAAATGCTATGAAAAGGGAGGAAAACAGGTCCGCGATGTAGGAAGTCGTGAAGGAAGTAGTCAAAGCGAGGTGTCCTGAGTGTGGAACCTGTTTATGAAGATTAGATTAAGGCATCTGCAATCCTAAAATGCTATGGAAAGGAAGGGAAACAGATCCGTGAGGTAGAAAGTGGTGAAGGAAGTAGTGAAGGCAAGCAGTTCGGACTGTGGGAACGGTTCATGACGATTAGATTGAGGCATCTGCAATCCTAAAATGCTATTGGAAGGGAAGAAAACAGGTCCGTGACGTGGGAAGTGGTGAAGGAAGTAGTCAAGGCGAGCTGTTCGGGGCGTGGGATCTGTTTATTACGATTAGATTAAGGTATTTGCAATCCTAATATGCTATGGGAAGGGAGGGAAACAGGTCTGTGACGTAGGAAGTGGTGAAGGAAGTAGTAAAGGCAAGCAGTTAAGACTGTGGGAACTATTTGTGACGATTAGATTATGGTATCTGCAATCCTTAAATGCTATGGGAAGCGAGGGAAACAGGTCCGCGACGTAGGAAGTGGTGAAGGAAGTAGTCAAAGCGAGCTGTCCGGAGTGTGGGAACTGTTTATGATGATTAGATTAAGGTATCTACAATCCTAAAAAGTAGGGATGGACGAGATCGGATTTTTAGTTTGAGACGAGACGAGACGAGATTTTTTATTTCTCATAAAATTTTGAGACAAGATCGAGACGGGATTTCCCTTCTCATACACAACGGGAAATGCACGTGCGGAATTTTTACCAGATTTTGTAACATTGTTAGATGACTGTTTAAATACAAAAATAATGATAATAGGCAAGAATATTTACAATCTTTTATTAAAAAACATCAGCATAACATTTTTTTATTAATCACGCCTAACTTATTAAAAATGCCTACGATTAGGAAACATAGTGATATCAGTTAGGATAGAGTTCAACTCATCCTAAAATAAAATAAATCATAAAATAAAATATTAATTTTTATAAAATAGTTACTGGTTTTGACTTTTTTTATAGTAATAAAACATTCCTCACACTGCTAACAAACACTTAACAAAACTTCTCAAATGTTATTAAAATAATTAAAGTAATATTTACATTTGAAGAATTAATTCAATAAGAACGCCTTTGCAAAGGAAACGCAACTACAACACGCTCCTGTATTGCGGGTATTGCATTGACTTTCTGCAGGCGTTATAATTTAATTTTTTTTTTTTTTTTTTTTTTATTCTTGTCTTGATAAAAATCTCGGCCAAAAAGAAATCTCGTCTCGTGTAACGAGATTTAAAATTTCCCGAAAATTTCCCAAAATTTCGAGACTTGACCATCCCTACTAAAAAGCTATGGAAAAGGAGGAAAACCGGTCCGTGACGTAGAAGGTAGTAAAGGAAGTAGTAAAGGCGAGCAGTCTGGAGAATGGGAACTTTTTATGACGATTAGATTAAGGTACATGCAATCCTAAAATTCTATGGGAAGGGAGGGAAACAGGTCCTTGACGTAGGAAGTGGTGAAGGAAGTAGTAAAGGCGAGCAGTCCGGAGTGTGGGAACTGTTTATGACGGGTATATTAAGAGATCTGCAATCCTAAAATGCTATGGGAAGGGAGGAAAACAGGTCCGAGACGTAGGACGTGGTGAAGGAAGTAGTCGAGGTGAGCTGTCTGGAGTATGGGAACTGTTTATGACGATTAGGTATCTACTATCGTCTGTGGCAGTTACATTAATGTATCTTCAATCCCAAAATGCTATGAGAAGGCAAGGAAATAGGCCTCATGACGGAGGACGTGGTGAAGGAAGTATTAAAATAGGTTGGCAGGCTGGCAGTGCAGAGTGGGGGAACCGTGTGGGCAGTTAGATAAATGTATCTGTAATCTTAATTGTTATGAGAAGGGAAGGAAACAGGTCCATGACGTAGGAAATTGTGAAGCAATTAGTAAGGCTAGCAGGGCAGACTGTGGAAACTGTCTTTGGCCATTACATTAATGTATCTGCAATCCTAAAATGCAATGGGAAGAGAGGGAAACAGGTCCACGACGTAGGGGGTGGTGAAGGAAGTAGTAAAGGTGAGCAATGTTGAGTGTGGGAATTTATTAATGTATCTGCAATACTAAAATGCTATGGGAAGAGACTGTAGACTGTGTAGGTTAAAATGATTACGAAGCACGAATCGATACATATTTTAGATACATGCAATCTTTTACAATCGAACTTTACAACTGAGTTGACAACAACTGATTTTTACTCCATAGAGGCTAAAAACGATTTTTACTCCCTAAAGAATAAAAATGATACTTTAGACCCGCAACGCATGCATCAAAAACTACTGTTTTACTGCAGTATGATAAAAACAATATAATATGAACCC